GCAGTGTAAGTAAATCTGTTGTTATCATAGTTTTGAAACCCGGACAGGACCGTCCGGTTAGATTCGGAAACCGGCGAACCGGACCCAAGGCAGGTCCGAGTCTGTATTATTTATTTAAATGCACTCAACCCGTTGAACCGGCGGTTTTTTAAGTGACCCGGCAGCCCCTTTTTAATTGAATCGCCTGGGTTATATCTTTCACTTACTCTGCCCCGTCTTTCAAAGGGTTTCTCAGAATTCACGTTGCCTCCTCTGCCTCGTCTCTCAATCTCTTTAGTCTTTGCAATTCAATCACTCCCAAATATCTAATTTCAAGTGTTAATATATGGAAGAAGAATAGATAAGTCTGATTTTTTTTTATTTTTTTTTTCATTTTTTTTACCCTTTTCGAAGCTTTTCTTCGACTGATGGAAAATCTGAAATTTTCCCTTTCATTTTGCTTATTTTGGTTGAGAACTTGATATAATAGACTTCATTTGTTGGGTAATTTGCCTATTCTGAGAACTATATGTAATAATCCCTTTTTTTTTTGTTCCAGAATTTAAAGTTATTTTGGTTGAGAAGTGAGAGCTGTACGTAATCCGTCCATAGTCCCTTTTGTTTGGCCACTGAGTCACTGACATTCAGAAATTAGAATATACATGTATTGGAAATTGGAATGACTAAATAAGACTTTTGATTTCTGGAGAAGTCTCCAAGTTGAAGATATTATGTGAAGTATATTTGTTCAGAACTTGTTGATGAAGTTGTAAATGTGTTCACTAATTTCCTCCGGCTTTTCTTGGTTAACTGGGACATTCACTGTTTATACATGCTAGCTTGTTGATGATCGATATGTTTGTATATGCTCTGCATTTATTTTTTCAGTTCACTATTGAACCAAAGTAATTTTGTATGATTGATTATTGTTTTCAGTTTTTATTGTTTCAAATGCATATTTCACTATATATGATCTAGATTTTGTGGAATTTGGGATACAAGTTGATCTTTAGTTAACAAAATAATAT